CTTTATTTTGTTTTTGATCGTGTCAACAAAGAGTAGAGTCCTACTGAGTGAGATGAGAGGATCTGTTGAATTTAGCGCAAATTTCTTTTACTCCAGCTATACTTTTCGATGTAATTAGTGGTCATAATTGGTTTTAAAAACCTTAAAAAGGTGTTAATGGTGAACGTGTTTACACTTCATTGTCATACAAATTTGTATAGGAACTAATATGAAACATTATTAATGGAAATGAACCACATTATTAACGCTCCACTTAAATACCAGATAATACGTTATTCATTGTTTCCTTGCTTATTAACTTTGTTAGCTCGCCAAATCAAAATTAATTTGAATTCTGAAAATACGATGAAGGCATAATGACATTAGTTACAAATTTTCCTCATGGAATTAGGGCCATCTGGGTAGAAGATGAGAAGTCAGAGGAAGAAGGGACTCAAAACTGAGGAGGGCTGAAATTACCCACCCTTATCCCAAACCTTCCTTGTGTGAGGCAAAATTTATATTTCTGAACCTCTATATTTAAGATTTAAAATAAAAGTTTCTTCCCCTATCTCTGGTCCCTCACCCCCAACCCCCATCTGCTTTTGTAAGAATCCGGGATTTGACCAAAATACTTTGTAGGATTCAGGAAAACGCAAAATATCCAGACGAATTCGGGATTTTTCTACTTCTGAAAAAGCACCGCGGATGTTCGCCAGAATTTAGGCATGATATGCGAGAGTTTTAACTTGTATTTCGGCAATCCGGGATGCGGAAATCGTGACGACCTACATAAACACTCTACAGGTGAAAGCGAAATGACCAAGCCAATGTGACTGGTCGATAGCTGTTTAATTGAAATTGTTCAGTAATCGACGGACGAGCAGAAAACTGAGAGTATTTTGTTTCGACCAGATGTCAAGAAAGTGGATCGGATGTGATAGCACGCCAATTATTGACTCGATGCTTATCCGGCTGAAGCTCCTTCAAATGTTTCAAGTCTTAAGGGGATTGTTCCACGGGTCAAACCATCATGTAAGGCAGGTATTTATGTCAGCTGCTCCCTTAGACAGCCAGAGTTTCGTTCTTTCCTGGGGACATTTAATGTTTGAGTATCGTACATGCCCATGCAAACACTACAGGTCTGCACTTCCAAAGCCTCCAAAGACTAATTAGACTGCAGGCAACTTAAAATACTATAAATGTACTTGGGGTGGGATGAAAGTAATCGGAAGGGTCAATCCTACAGTCACTTTGTTTCATTTATTCATCCATTCATTTTTATTTATTTTGGGGGGTGGGGGTGGGTGGGGAAGGTTAAAAAGAGCAGGATTCGAGTAACAAAGGGCTTAAGTGCGGGAATTCGGGATCATGCTCAATACCCCCACCTCATTTAATTATTTGAAAATCTTTGTGGTTTAATTATTCAGACACACGCTCACCTCACTCCCCTCGGGCTGCCCCACTCGTCGCGTCTGAAAAACGCCCAAAAACAACGCCTCTTTTGCAGACTGAGAAAATCCTTTTTTGGAATCTTGAAAACATTGAATGAATAAACATATGGTTTAGATTGTGTCTGAATCCTACTGTCTGCCGTGCTCTTTACATTTTCAGTTAAATTTTAACCTTCTTTCGGCGTGTTTCGCTTTAGTAACTGACCACCTGGACTTAATGTCATTTGCACGTGCAGTAAGCACGTGCGATCTACCTTAAACGTGCGAAGGTCTCGTGTGATATTAAACGTTTCTTCAGATCCTGCATCCGGTATCAGCACCGAAGAAAGACAAATCAAATAAAAAAATTCCTCCGCTAGGAAATTCAAACATAGCTCTCGTCGCGTGATTCGTCGTCAAATCGAATCAAGCTCTCCTTGAGATCTGCAGGTAAGCATGGGAATAAGTGAAAAAGTTTAACCGATTAAACGGTCATTTTGTACAATTTTTCTATATAACATTTGAAATTTCGCGATCACATGCTCGGCAAGCGGCAAAAACGATTTTGGTAGACTAGCTAGAAGAGATTGTGGCGAACTTGAGACTCTTTATATGCATTTTCGCCAGCGTTTAAGCATCAGAATGGAGAGAATTGTTTCACTATCCTCTTAATTAATTGATTATCCACCCAGAAGCTTGGAGCGACAAAAGGTTACTTTGGCGAAAATGTGCAGGCGGTAATTAACCGTGCTCGAATTTTCAAGTCTAGTGCTGATGTTGTTAAGAGCGTTTAATGAAAGTAAATGGAAGTGGTAATATTGCAATCTATTCCTCTCGTGGCTCCACCGCCAAAAACTTCTACAAAACTTGCCGCAGAATATGGCATATACACGCACGAGTTTTTCTTTTCTTGCCATACATTTCACATGTCTGAATCGCCTTTGTACGCACGAGATCTTGTCGAGTACTACCATCCTCTGCAGACTGGCTTACAAGACTAAACGAACTTTATCATTCGAAGAGCGCAGTTTATTAGATGAAAAGGTAGCCACTGTATAAATACAACATCTACGAATTATTTTGATGCTAATATGTTACATGCATGATGTTTTGTCTGGGAGAAACGGCAGCACTGGGTCAGGAGCGAGCTGAAAATAAATTGGAGGATGTAATTGATCAACTTCTACTTGAAACTGGCTATGTAAGTGGCGATCGCCAGTTTAAGGAGGCGGTACTTCAAAGTTGCCGTCGCCAGTATAAAAGTGGCGATCACCAGTTCCAAGTGGCGACGCCAGTTCAAAGTGGCGATCACCAGTTCAAATAGGCGACGCCAGTTTTAAGTGGCGATCGCTAGTTAAAATTAGAGACGCCAGTTAAAAGTGACGGTTGCTATTTCTAAGAAGCGAATACCCAGTTCTCAAATATAGTGTTGATACTTGCTACGTATCCTTGTTTACAGCTGTCCCATGCAAACCTTGATTATAATAAGTCTGGGCAAATGGCGAATGCCGGAAGTCTCAACGACAGTTCGTTTTTTTGTAACATTCATAATTTTAGTTAAAAAGATTTTTACTGCAACGGTTATTTTTCAGCGGTAAATGTCGTGCACAGTTACAGCGCCTTGTCCAGGAAGAAGTATAGACTGAGTAAGCGGTTCATCGTAAAGACCTGGCACCAGCGACTTTCATGCTTCCGTATCTGTTGACCTTCGTGTACCTGTTATGGTCTCTGTGAATCTGCAAGCAAACTGCAATCGAGTGACCGTCACATTTCATTGGTTTGGTTTTTCTCAAGCTGTTTTACTCTAGTGTTGATTTTCGATATTGTCTAGGCAATTCTTGCCAGGTTCTAGGGGAAGGGGGAACTATAATAATCTCATGTTACCCAAGATTTAGATCCTGTTCAGCGTCTTATAGCTAACATACATGTGAAGCACTATCTAGCCAGACACCCCAGACACCACTTTTTTTCGAAAGTTTTGTATTTCGACCTCTAGCTCTCGTATAATTCGTATGAGAGCGCCCCACTCCCTCCCCTCCCTTCCAGGATAATACGTTTATTTTATTTCCCATATTCTATATTCCGCAATACAGGGAGAGGCTTGTTACTTGGGATATTTTCTTCTATAAATTGCATAACACCGATCATACTTGCTTATCTTTGCATTTAACTAAAAAAATTGTTTTGTTTTAAAGCATGTCGTTACCGGTGGTCGCGTTTGTTTTGCAATTGGTACTTGTCCGAGATTGTTTTTTGGCTGATATGACGAAAACTTTTACAAGGATAAAATTTAAGCTTGCGAAATTAACGGAACACGCTCACATGCTGATTCAATTTCTGTGAAGTTTTTAAAAAAATCTGTAAATATTTTCATTTTCCAAATCGATCAGGCATCTAACAATGAGTCGCGGGAGAAAAATATTAGAAGTAGAGCGGAACTCGTGCCAGGGATCCTCGGCTGTAGAATAAACGTGCACGTGATATCTTCCACAAACACAGATGTGATGAGAGTGCGATTGAAAAAACACACTTAAAAATAAAAAAAAAGAAACGACGGGGAAAAAATCTTCTTTTTCCTTCACTGTCCGAGGAAACTATCCAGAAAATGACCATTCAGAGTGAAAGACTTTTCCTTTTGATCGATTTCTTTGACTTGCCGCACGTGCTGATGTCCCACGTGCGGATGTCTCGTGTGTTTCGCGCTACACGTGCCACTACCTCGTGTGTTGCTTCAGACAAACGAAGCAAAGCTCTTTGTATGCATACAAGCACTGAAAAGTCATCGCAAGAACTTCAGCTTGTTCACAATTAGAGTTTAAGCTGAGTTTGTGATATAACAAGATGTAAACCCAAAAGGTAAGCGAAAGAGGAGTTAAGATATCGATAGATGTTTGCTGGGAAATTTGTAGTTGCCTTTCGGGCTTTTCTGAAATGGTAAAGGGTAGCAAAATAAGAGTTAAGATGGCGATAGATGTTTGCCGGGAAATTTGTAATTGCCTTTTAGGCTTTTCTGAAATGCGCATTTCTTAAAATTTTTTGGATTGAATACGCTCGCATAGGTTTCGGAGACGGAAAAAATGTGAATCACTGTTTCAGACGATCTGGTTAAGTGGAAATAAGCAGGAGGCGAGAAATATGTACTGAAACACAGCGGACTGTAGAGAGGGCAGTATATGGCCATTTTTCACACAGAAGTCGCGTTGCTGCAAAACCGAATCGTAGCGCGTTCAAGGGCCTACTTTGTCACTGATTGCTACGTCGCCACTCAAAAGTCGCGTGTAGCTAAAAATTTAGAGGTCACAGCACGTGAGGCAAATCCAGCGTGTGAAGTCAATTTTTCTTTCGTCTACAGCAAAGTTTAAATCATTATTTGCGCTCATTATCGATTTCGACGAGCACATAACTTTAAAATTATTTAAATGTACCAGAAGAAAGACAAAATCAGAAACATTATAGAAATGTGAGGGGAATACAAGTCAGACATCACAGTCACGTTTGTCATGTAAAGTGATCACGTTTGGACATATGTGACTTCTATGCACGCAATTACGTAACATCCTACAAAAGCTTTAAAATCACCACAAAGTATACTCGACAGCGTACCACCGTTAAAAAGTATTATCACTGATGCCATATACAATACTGCAACCTCTATGCACTCGTTTATCGGCCAAATGATCGCTACAGGCGGTTGAATTTCGACAAGGAAGCTTTTTGAGAGGTTTGTGATAATTTTGTTTCGTACAAGTTGTCGTGCAAATTTTGCAAGATTAAACGTAGAAGTAACAGATCTAGTCTCCCACCTAAGTCATTATAAAAACTATTTGTTGATTTTCAATATCATATTCTTAAAGTCCTGACGATACAGAATTTATTCGATCGAGCGTTGCTGCGTCCAGGCTTGACATTGAATTCAGTTCTCGGTTTAAAAGAGAAAATGCTTCGAAGACTTCCGTCATCGTCTTTCCATCATTCGATTTAACTCATCTTATTGAACTTCCGTTAAAAATATTGCTTTGAAGAGAACGCAAGATATGACAAACAAGACTCTCAAATGTTCCAGAAAGCATGAGTATAAAACTGTAATATCTGACCTATCGGACGTAGCTATTAAACTATATTGTTATGACTTGGTTTAAACGCGTCCGAACTCTTCAATGATATCATTGTTGCCTGGTTTATTTATTTGTTTATTTTTTTTTCTAATCTTTTCAAGTTACAATTTGATGTTGGATGATTTCATTATAAGCGGAGAGTTAGATGGCGGAGGACTTTGAAGACAACAGAGGTCAATTTCAGGTTGGTCAAAGAAAACGCAGTATTATGTTAATCGAGGTTCTACAGACAAGCTGTTGGCACGATTGTAAGAGCCGATGTATATCCCATGCTCATGTTACCATTGGTTTGAATGATACACGTTTTTCGTAAGACAAAAAAAATCCAAAAACTACAGAATTAATCTGATTCAGGGTTCGAAGAATCTGATGAAATTTTTCCTTAGAAATTTTTCCCTAGAAAATTTTCCTTTGTCGCTTAGGGTGATGTAATAATCCCAAGACCGACAGCAACTGGTATCCCAAGGTCTTGTAATGTTTCTAGCAGTGCCAGCTGCTCAGCTGGAGAGTCAAAGCACCCTCAAAGAAGTGGGCACTATAGCACCTCTCCATCAACATCCGGTGATATGATGTCAAAGGGCAGTCCTGGGAATCACAACCACAACCACAATCACCACTACCATAGACACCATCACAGCAAAGGAAAGGTCAAGAAACATTATAATGGAAGTTCAGACCGCTTTAGTCGTACTGCTGCTGTACTGCGACAGGCAGGGCTTATGAAACTTACCCTGCAAATTGCTCAGTTGATTAAAACTAATGAAGATCTTCAAAAAGAAATTGATGAACTGCAAAGTGAAGCTCTTCAATTCAGTGAAAATTTAAAAATGCAACTTCAGCAGAAACTACAAGATCAAAATGGGACCAGTGATCTACATGATGAAAACAAATGAGGGACTGTTTATTATGATAAAAGGGATGGGGGGGATGGGTAATTAAATAGGGGGGAGGGAGGATTGAAAATTTTAGCAACCCTGGAGGTTTTGGTCTTAGGAAAAAAAAAAAGAAGGGAAAAAAACAAGTTCTTATTATGATAAGATAAAACACCTGGAAACCTACTTAACATTTAAGAGTTTGAAGTATGTGGCAGTGTGTATGTAATTGAATATGTGTGTTTGGGGGTGGGGGGGGAGGGAGGGGAGTTTGTGAGGGAAGGGATAAGTTAGGACATTAAATATTTCCTGATTGTAGAGGGTATCCTTGTAAATAACTTTCATGACAGGTTACTGGAATAGGAGGTACAGTCTGCCAATTTCTTACACATCCCTTGCTCTATTGAAAGATAGTGAAAGGTCCTTAACTACTCTCTTCCAGCAACAAAGAAGTTTTTTTAAAAATACCAGGGTTATAAAAAAATTACCAAAATTAGCTTGCTATATGGTTGTAGTGTCCCTGAAGAATCCACAGATTTATCAACTATGGACAACTGTACTTAAACTGAGACTAAGGCTGTAGTGTTTGTGGAAATGTGAAGAATATGCAAATCTTTAGTGGGGTGAAGCACAGCACAGGCAGGGGGTTAAGAAAAAAAATTCAAGCTTTTTAGCAAGTACCTCCCAGACCTGCTCATTACAAGGCCTGCAATGGTATTTTATTAATATAGAAGTTTTTTAAGCTAAGTTTGATTTTTATCTATTGCTCAGATCTTTGTGAGCAAAACTTTGGAGTACCCAGTAATTAGAACTTGATATGAATTTCATATCTTCTCCATTGCATGTCAATCAGAAAATCATTAAACAAGGAATTAAGAGACACTGGTAAGTGTAGTTGTCCTGAGAACTGACAAGAAGTATATAAGATGAGCCTTTTTCTTTGCAACTCTATCAAAAAGGTTTCGTCATAATTTATTTTTTGTGGAATATCTGTATACTCTTATACACTCCTTTAATAATGTTTAATAATGTATCAAGGTTTCTGTTGTTAATCTATATTCCAATATGTTAAAATATCAAAAAAAAAAATAAATAAATAACAACAAAACACTCCTTACTTTTCCAGTGTGTATAACTACTGGTACTACCAAAGACTGTATGACCCCCAACTTAGAAATAAATATTGACCCTTTAACTCCCATGAATGGCCAAGACAGAATTTCTCCTTACAGTATCAAATTGAATACAATATCAACCAGATGAGTGACGAGAATAAAGAAAAGTATCAATTTGGGGATATCTAGGTGATCCAATATTAAATTCTCTGAACTAACATTATAAGAATTGTATGGTTGACCGTTAGGAAAATTACAAATTTGAAGTGATATTGCAAACTTAATACTGTATTGCTCAGGAAAGAATGCATCAACTTTTCATCAAAGTAAATTTTTTTTTCAAAAATATTGATTTGCTGTTTTTAGCTCTTATTTTCAACGCTCTTGAAAGTTATGTGAGAAACATTTTGAGGGCAGAATAATTTTAAGGCTCTTCTATATTTATGAATGAAAATACCCTAAATAAATACCTCAGTATATTGGTTACAAGATGCAGGAAAGACCTTCTAAGAGGTTTAAAAGTTTGTGCGTTTAAAACACCACCTAGTTGGTTTGTTCATGGAGACTTTTGCAATAGTCTCCCAAAGGATGATTAGAAATCTTCATTGCAGGAATTGGTAAGTCCATGAGAAAGAGAGAGAGAGCATGAGTGACGAGACTAAACAAAAGCTGCCAAGGAGACCAGGTATTCCAAATGACTCCAGAAATAATTTGATTAGCACAACTTATGCTTCTCATAAACCATTTAACTCCCAAAGATCTGATTGTTAATTATCCTTCCTAGCTTGTAAACTAGTTATGTGAATTTGGTGTTCATGCTAACAACTACCTAATAAATTTGAGTATCCTCATTACCTGTTTACTTTAAAATGTATCAATATTATGGGGAGAGGTGACATGTAACTCAGTTCTGAGAGTTAATGGCTTAATGGTAATCTTGACTTTAATTCCACAACAGATGTAAGGAAAATGTCAAGTTTGAAATCTAGAAGGCCATTAGAAACATTATGGGTATTCATCATCTTGTAAAGAGCTCTGAATTTACAGGGAATGGATAATAAGTATATTATTAGTGTTGAAAAGTTCACAAGCAATTCCCCCTATAATAATATACATGAAAAAAATGCACATCTGATTGGCTGAAAACAAGTGCATTTTTCATTTTTAGACATGTGCCAAGTTGTAACAAAAGTGTAAATTACAATTAGTGTCTGCGCTGTCAAAATTTTGTGTGTCATGACTTTCTGTGATGTTTTTTTTTTCATATAAATTATTAATAAGTAACAACATGATTTCTTGTGCAATAAATATAGGTACTAGTAAATTTTTCAAAGGCTACAATTGCACTTGCTCTATGGGCTGGTGCAATTTTGTTGTCTTTGAAAAATTCCCTTTTGCTTATAAACACCAAATTGCACTCAAAATCATGTTAATTTTCAATGTTAATTTTCTTTCCCCGTGTCTGAGGTTAACCCTAACCACCATCATGTATTGTCCTTTGGCAGAACACAATTAAAACAATTAACTTTTCTCTCTGAGAAAATGTTAGCGCTAGATAGACAGAGGGTTCCACTGCCATCAGTTAATTAATGCTACAGATCCAGGTGCAGAAGCAACACTGTATCCAGCATAGTAACTTATTCTAGATATCTTTTAATTAGCAAAGGTGAAACAAGTATATAGCAAATTGCTGTTGATTGACATCATCTATATGGTGCATCTCTCTTGCTACATAGAGGTAGAGTTTCATCAGTGGATTCCAACAGCCTTCGTGATTCCCAAGATAAATGTTAGCATAATGATGATTACTTTAGCTACTGTTAAAATCTTACGCGCCTCTAAGTGATCTGGATCGATACTCCAGAATGTTTTTTTTCTATTTTTTTTCAGTTGTAATATACAGTCTCTATGTTTCGGAAAAGCCTGCAGGTTAGCGTTAATTTGCAACACTTAAAGTTGAAGGCGTCGCTGCTTCCTTAAAAGACTGAATATCGAGAATGGAAATGAGATACTTGATAGAAGATCAGGGTTCAAATTCTGTCAATATTTCATAAGACTGTGAGACAGTGAAGCCATCATTGTCAATGAATTCCTTACTTTCAAATAAAAAACGAGTAGAAACTCGCTGTCTAAACAAATAATTTATTTTATAATAAGTTACTAAGAACTAGATTAACACCATCATTTGGTTTAATCGCATCAGTTTCCACATCTGCATCAGCTGAATTGTTTTCAGTTGACAAGAATTCATTTGGAAGCCTAGAACTAAGGGATAAATTTGATGTATTTAACAAGCATACCTTAGCCTCGCAATTGGTATGAAGAAAGATCAGATTACTGTTTTTCCTCGAAGAAAGATAGTATGAAGATTAGTATACGCCAGATAAAACGCCTTCTATCGGGAGATAGAGTCATTCGTGTAGCGCCGCCATGTTGGTTTCTTGAAAATATACATTATTGTAACGCAATTTGTAGTTTCCCAATGCACCTAGTTCAGCTAAGTGCTTTTTCTTTTGATGATTTTAAATGCCCGTCTCAATTTTTGATAATTTTTTCGCTCATATACTCCAAAGGATATCAACTCAATGGCTTAGTTACATCGCCATTCTTTCGTGGTCACAAAGAGGAAAAAAAGTAGCCTACACGTTTATCTATTTTTAAGTATCGAGCTGGCAACTTTTAAAACCTGTAAATATTAGCATCAGTCGGGTATAAGTTGTTCCTTCGTTGAGTTCCAAGCGAGCAACTGTTAATTTGAACTTGTCAGCTTCGATTTCTCTTCACAGGGACAATTCCAACATGTTCTCCAACTGTGTAGATGAGATTTTAAGATTTATTTTTATTCTAAAAACTTTATTTAGACAGTTTCACATTCTTCCTGTCATTTATCTTAAAAACCTGTTTCCGTTATGCACAGTGGTTCGACTCTGTTGTTATGAGCTGTGGTCCAACGCAGAAGAACGCTTATCCATAATTAATTCTTACAGTCAGCGGAAATGTCATAAGTTCAGTATAACTTTAAATCCGTTTATATGAAACATGAGTTTCCTTAATTCTTATTTTTTCCTTTTCTCTCTCTTTTTTTTTTTTTGGTCAAATTTTAAAAATTTCTCTAAGGGAAAAACACCTACAAAGGAAATGAACGGTTTGATGCCACAAACTACGGATGCTGGGCAGACAAGGAAAACCAGAAAAACAGGTTGTAGTCACGTGCACGAAAATCGCGCCAACAATACATAAGTGTGACTTTTTTAATAATGTAAGAACACTTGTCACTGCGCGTTCATACGTTCACCATGGCGAGGAATGTTGTGTGTTGCCGGTCGTGGGGAACAAAACTTCTTCTTAACGGAAGGTCATCGAATACTCGAACATTGCTATTTTCATTAAGAAGAGGTAATCACAGCGTTGCTGAAGTTTCAAGAACTGCCACAATTTCTCCTGAAAGGGATCACACCTCCACCAGTCCCGACAAAACAGTTAGTGGATTGAGCTTCAACGACGGCAAAAACGCGTTCCGATCGAAAACGACGTGGGAGATTGTTCGGGCTTTGGCCATATTTAGACTGTGCACCTTCGATATTCTAGTGAATAAGAACAAAGAGGTAAGGGAAATCACAACCCATACGCCTTAAGCTTGCATAACCTCGTCCTGTTGAAGTACTGTCTAGACAAGACATATCTTAATTCTTACGTAACTTTCAACTGTAGCAAAACTCTAGTAACGTCCAGAACTCGTTTGCGGCTTTTTATCCGAAAGCTTTATAACCAAATATTGTCGATACGCGAGATATTTTGTGAGGTAATCGCACAACACGAACTCTATTTCATCGTTCTGCTAAATTCCTGAAACCGTGTTGTTTACATGTTTAATAAATGGTAACTCCAACTGTCATGTTGTTGTTGGAAACCTTCATATGTATTCTGTTATTTGATTCCCGCTTATCGTAAAGGATAGACGAAAAAAAGAAAAACTACTCGTAACTCATTGTAATCACTGCAAAATCTAACGCTGTTGGCGACTAAATCTATTGAGTCGACGACGAACCACTCTCGTATCACATGTCGATCGCGAAGTTACGTAAAACATCAAGAAAATGGGAAACTTTAAACCATTTTCAGTTTCTTGAAATACGGTTAGCAGTAGGTGTAAATGAAATCTCTAAAATTTTATTTTCGCAGCACCGGTCTTGAAGTTATTAAACTTTAAAATTATTCTGTTGCGCAATTGAAAATCCGATAGTTAACAAATGAGGTCAAGTAGAGGGCTTTAAGTGAAATGATTGTCGAAACATGTTTTGTCAACTTAAATTGTGCTTTCCACCATTGAAACGAAAGGCGCTCTACGTCGAATGGAAATGAACTCTCATCTTGAAACTAGATGTCCAAATGTATTTCGTTCGATTTCAAAATAAACCTTTTTCAAGCCTAGAAATACTTTTCATCTATATCCTCGAGGCTGTTAGATGCGATTATGCATGTAGCAATATGTATCGGCATGTAATTGTGTCAGAATCACTAATTCATAACAAGGTTTTGCCAGTTTCACAATCTTGCAACGATTCAGGCTGTTGCTAGTTTCGTTACTCCTGTTGTATCAGTGGAATTTGGAACACGCAAGACAAACCCCTGAACACACCTCCAGTAATATGTTGAACTAGCCACTGTCAAAGATAAACATGTACAATATTAAATACACTGTGTTGCTTGCGGGAATAGGAACACATTTTGAATATTCTACATTTTAAGTATCCTGAAAGTCTACTTATTTGCCCAAAATGAAGTATTTTAGCATTTGGCCTGACTGTTGATTACATTGTAAAATTATTCACATCCTATGTTGCACTTTGGTTAATTTCATAATGTGTTCATTTTTTTTGTTTCTGAATTTTCTCAAAGTTGATCAACAAACTGATTTTGCAAGCCCCCATTCAAACCAGCTTGAAGCTGAACTGGGCTAGCCTTCATTAATATTGCTAGTAAACAAATGAATAAGTTTTAGCTTAAATAAGAGCAAATTTATGTAACAGAGAAATCTGTATCAGGCAAACTCCTCTATGAGGAAAATCTTGTCTTGAGCAGCCATCAAGAAGAGTCATGTGGATGCTCATTTAGATACTGACTTCACTTTAATAAACAATTTGGGCTTTACTTTGTTATTTCAAAATTGCTGAGGTCTTGTAACTGATGCATAAATAAAATCTACCATACGCACTCATCATTCTGCAACAATTTTCCTTGAGAAACTCTCTTGTAAAATTACATAATTTTAAACTTTACTACTGTACATGTTTCAATTTTAGTTGCTTCAGTTTGGTCAAAAGATTCTTGGAAAGCATTTGTTCAGGAAGTTAATGAAGGCCTCTTTTTATGGTCATTTTGTGGCTGGTGAAGATCAAGAAGCAATCAAGCCAGCAATTTATAATTTGGAGAAGTTTGGAGTTGGTGCAATTTTAGATTATTCTGTGGAAGAGGACTTGTCAGAAAATGAAACCAAAAGTCACATGGGACAAAATACTGAAGATTCTGTAGATCCATCAGATGAACACGACAAATACAAACCCCATGAAGAATTTGCAGATAGGAGGAAAGGAGTGTACAGTGCTCGGACATATTTTTATGAAGGGGAAGAAGAGTGTGAAAAGAGAGTCGACACATTCTTGAAATGCATTGATGCAGCAGGTAAGATCGCTGTGTAATCTTAGTTGAAATCTAAACATGGAATAGATAGAATTAGGAGCCCACAATGGGCTCCTGATAGAATAGAATAAGTAAACATATGTATTGCTATTTAAGGCAATAATGAGGTATTTTGAAATTCATTTTTTATATATATATATTACAGAAAGTGCTTCCAAGGATGGCTTTGCTGCAATCAAGGTTACAGCCTTAGGAAGGCCTCAGATACTTGTGAGTAAGGCATCTTTAGAGAATTAAGGCAGTGGTTCACACTACTGATGCTAACACAAGCTCAAAAACTCTAGAATCAATTAAATCTTTTTTGACCATGTGACCATTTGAACATGTGAAAAAATTGATAAATAATTGGCTTAATTAATTACATTTATTTTGAAAGAGCTGATGATTCTTGTGAGAAGGTAGGGTATTTAACTGTAACAATTCAAACTGGCCATTAAACTTGGTGTTGTACTCGTGATTTCATACCCAATTGCACTTCACTCATTTCAATTACTATTATGGAAAGATATCCTTAATAAGGTGACACAGACAGCTGTGAATACTTAAGAACACTCTCCCTTCATTTGAAATTGACCAGAACAGCTAATCACTCATTTTAGTTGCCCAAATTTAGTGGTTATGAGGATCAGCAGTATGCTTTCAAAACAAAAACATTAATCAGATTACACCCTTAAAATGATACATTTCTGAATACAAAGTATGCTCCTTTTCTTACAGATGCGAATCTCAGAAATTCTGAATCAGACACAGTACTTCTTTGATCATCTGGCTTCAGATTCTGTCTTGATGGATAAGATTGGAAACAGTGTTGCCAGAGACAAGTTCTTTGAAGGCCTGAAAACACTTGGGGTAATTGATGCTGTCTTTTGAATGGTTCACTTTGCATAGTTGAGCAGTTCTAGGCAGTTTCAAGTAGAGTGATATTATAATAGGTGTGAATTAATTGACTTTATGATCATTTCTTTTTTCACTGTCAGGTTGAGACGAGTCCAGAAGAAGCAAACAGAATATTTGACTTAATTGACACCAACAAGTCAGGGTAAATTGAAGTTATGAACAATAACTACAATTTGTTGATTCTAAAATGAGCATAAGATAATGTGAATTTTAGCTAACTTTTCTCTTTCAAGTTATGAAAATTTGGCAGACTATTGGCTAACAACCTGTGTTGTTATGATTAATTCTAAATTGAAGGCTGATGGCATGAAAAGCTATTTGCAATCCATTCGACAGTATTCCTTTTTTTTAACTTGTAGAAAGCTGTTTTCTGATGGAATCAGAGTACTATCCCTGCCTAGCCCTTTACACCAAATCTCCTTTTATTAATACTCCTCAGCCTGTCTTCTTTCAAGTGTACTCCCCAAAATTAACAAAAAGAGCAATGTTAAGTGTGACACTAAACAACAGCTGTATTCACTCACCATAATCTTGACTTTATTTTTACTACAATGAATTATGCTGGTTATCCTTAAAAGCTTTGTATTTTCCATTTCTAGTGATATTGATGTCATAGAATGGCATGAGTTCTTAACCCCGCAGCTGAAACTTTCTCAGTTATTCAGGGCAAAGCCACAGGGTGATGTAAGTTCTCAAATATTCTTCTCATTTTGAAAGAAAGTAAAATCTTGTTCACCTTGATGGTTATCTGTTGCAAGGAGTTTCAGTTTTAAATAATGAATTTGTATACACAAAATATTTGAAATACTTCTTAAAACATGACAGCATGATAGACTGCAATAAATTTTCATTCTGTAATTGGTTAGGATTCATAGTAATTTTCTTTTTTTCACAGGAGAAGTCAGGAAGGCCGATAATTTCAGCTCTGACAGACGAAGAACTTATTCAAATGGAAAATATGGCAAACAGACTAACAACTCTTGCTGAGGTGCGCACTGTCTTCTTGTTAGCCCTTAACCCTTCAACACCCATAGGGGATTAACATGTACTTCTCCCTATAATATCCTTACATTGTCTAGCCAACAGGTAACTAGAATACTCAAACAAATCAGGTAGAATTTGTCATGATCTAACACCAAATTCTTGAAACTGATTAACAAGGAAATGTTTAGCAGTCAAGGAGGGGGGGGGGGAGAATTAACAATCAGATCTCAGGATTAAAGGGTAAATCCTAGAAAAGACATACCACACCTACAAGAACACTTTTTAGTCTTCCACTTGGCAAAAAATACTACTAGACTTGAATGCACTGCTGGTAGCAGTGAATATTTTGTAAGGAGCATTCATTAATAAAAATTATTTCCAACAAAAGGAAAAAAAGACAGTTTTATTTTTAAGTTAGTGAGGAAGACAATACAAGTGTTCCCCCACTTGAGATTACAGTATACTACAAACTGATGAGGAAATTTAGGGGAAAAAGATTATTGTTGGAAAAAGCTGCAAGCAAATTAGAGTAGAGCTTATTGTGAGCTTAAGAAACTTTGCACTTCCACCTGCCAAGAAGATTCCTCAAACAAAAACATGATTTTTGTGCGAACATTTTTGTAATTATTAGCATGCTTCAAAAACTGGTGTGAGGCTTATGGTTGATGCTGAGCAAACCTACTTTCAACCTGCCATAAGACATCTCACTTTAGACTTGATGAGGAAGTTTAACAAGGAAACACCACTTGTGCTGAACACATACCAGTGTTATTTAAAGGTGAGTGTTTGTCTACAAGTTTTCACCTACATGGAAGTCTTCAAGTTGATATTTCCTCAGTAGTTGTACAGTTTGGAAGGGTAGACTTCTTTCTGGTGTTCTTTGAGGGGCAGCATGGCAATTGTAATGCACTGGTCCTTTTTTACTGTACTAATACAAATGAAGAGGCCTTGGCTGTAGTATTATTAGGTTGATGTCACTATTGTAACAACCAAGTCAAGAGGTCAAGAACTGACATTAGGCTGCAGAAGGCTTTATGATTTAATTATACAAAATTAATGTACCCAAAAAACCCACAAAGGGAAGCTATACACTACATATTACTACAGCTCACTTGGTATGAAAAAATTGCTCAAATATAATATCAAATAGTTGTGCTATCTTGTATATCCAAGGACACCTACACAAAGATACAAACAGACATGGAATTGGCAAGACGGGAAGGATACATGTTTGGTGCCAAGCTTGTGCGAGGTGCTTACATGGAGCAAGAGCGCCTTAGGGCCAGCACAATAGGCTACCCTGACCCAATCCACCCAAGCTACAAGGCAACCAGCAAATGTTTTGATGAAGTTTTGAATGCTGTGTTAGAGGAAACCAAAAGAGGAAATGCTAATGTTCTTGTGGCAACTCACAATGAGAATTCCATCAAGGTGGCCATCAACAGGTAATTTTCAGTTTACTGCCACCTTAAAGATTACAAACCACCATCTGCTTAGCTTACAATCAAGGATTTTAGGTTCACCTTTCAAACCCTTTTCTGGGAACAGGCACTAATATTACACCATTGCCAGCTGCTTGTGGAAAAAGATATTGAAATCCTTGGCTCATGGTATAAATCTTGCCTTTCTGTACAGCAAATTGTATAGTAAGATTTTTAAAATAAAGCACCAATTTATCTATAACTCATTTAAGCTTGAATTGACCTTGCTTTTGATGTCCTTAAGTGCACAATGTGAAATCGCACTGCCATACAACATTTTGCACCCTGTGATTGTACACTGCTGAGGGGCTATAGCAAAGGGGATACTATTTTTTTCTTCAAGATCACAGAGAGTTTTAACAATTTTTTTTATCTTCTCATAGGATGCATGAGTTGGGAATTTCACCTCAGGAAAGGAAAGTCTTCTTTGGACAGCTCTTTGGAATGTCTGATGCAATTTCATTTACATTAGGTATGAGGGTTGTACAGTTACATATCTGTATTTCAAGATATAGTTGCTTGAAGTATTGATTTACATGGCTTTTGCAATCACACATTACCAGCACAGGGAAGGAGTGTTGTGGCCTGATGAAGCATAGCAGGGTACAAGAGGCTCACATTTGGAAAGCTCAGTTAAATGAAGTAAAATACGAGGTGTAAGATCCATTAAACTGCGCTTTTCAGTGAGATGCAAAGAGTTGTGGTGAAGGTTAAGTTCATTTAAAATTTGCTTTACACTGCTGTTAATCATATTACAGACCTCTTCGGAAACATGTACGTTATCTAGTAGATCCCAAAGGTCATGTTCTGAATTGCTAATTTGATAATTTCAATCCAGATTATTTGTAACTTGTAGGGTCCATTACAATATGGTGCTAGATGGCTTGGCTTGGCTCGGCTCAGAGCCTCAAAGCTTGCAAGTTATACTGCACAGTTAGTAAACATTTAAAACTAAAGTCTAAGACAAACCAGAATAATCACAGTATGTATTAAGGCATACTCCCCAACCTTCATAGTTCACTTCAGTGATTCACAGGAATTGCCTTCAACCACTGAACTAAGATTTTTCTCATCTTTGATTCAGGTAATGAAGGGTATGCTGTGTACAAGTATGTGCCATTTGGGCCTGTGGAAGATGTTCTGCCATACCTCTCGCGAAGGGCCATGGAAAATAAAGGCCTCTTAAAGGGGGTGCTCAAAGAGAGAGGCCTTCTCTGGGGGGAGCTTAAAAGGAGGTTCCAAGAGGGAGAGCTGACATACAACCCAGCATTGTGAGATGATATTGGTTCTTCAAAAAGAAGCCACAACTCCAGAAAGCAGACCTTGCTTTCAACAGTTTTTCAAATTAGAGTTCCTTTGACCATACTAGTTAAAAGTTAATACTAAGACAACCATAATAATAGGAATATAATTTGATTACAGTCACAATTGTTTGTATATAAATATAATTACACATAATTTTTAAAAAATTAAGGAATTCAAGACGTAACAATCTTTAGATGCCATATGCAAGACTTGTTTTGCTCATTTGCCCAAATTTGAAACACCTTTTGCAGTCCACATTTGTTGGAATTCAAAATTTGGCAAACACTTACTGTGTTTGCTGGGATTTTCTATCCATTATTGACAAGATGTGGCTTTAAGTGTAGCTTAGTGAAATAACCTTAAGGTTCTAACAATGATCTGGACCTGATACCTCGTTCAGTATCAGTTTAATTAAGGAAACTGTACATCAGTCCATTTAAGAGTTGTTGTATGTATATTCATTCCATACACAAGAAATGCAATAAGTACTTTACTCCATGTTTGCTGCTGAGGGTAAAAACAGTCATTAAGTTTTGATGTAGAGTAAAATAATACTACAAATTTTACATCCTAGGACAGATTATGTTCATACTTTTTCAGCAATGGAAAGTAAGATTTGCAGTTTAATTAATACAGTAATGAGGCAAATTTTTTTGCAAAATTTTTTAGGTATGGACATAGTAAATAAGAAGCTTACAGAAATATTTGTTCATGAAAAAGGTGCTTGAGGGCAAATGGCAGTAATTAGTAAATTTATCAGTACCACTGGGTTCTTTATTCATCCAGATAATTAATATAGTCTGAAGGAAATTGTGTTAGCAAGTATTTCTTTATGGGATACCTTATTGATTTTTGAGTTTATTTATTCCTGAGGGGTTTGTAAATATGTCACAGTCAACTGTTGAGAATATAAATTTGGAAAATAGCACAGAATGGATAATATAATATTAAAAGTTTAAATCAATGGGGCGAGATTCTAAATACATGCGTTAAGTGGGGGTGGGGTATACTTTCCTCTTGTGTCACTTAGGGCATTGCTTAATGTTTAGGATTTTAATGTTTAAAATCATCTTTGCAAATATTGTACAGAACAAGAGGAATGTTTTAATTCTGGAATGATGTAATTAGTGTTACTCTGAAATTCAATGAAAAATGTTACATGCATAATTCTACTATAGATTCTGCTGTTTTCCAATTATTTTTAATATTGAGTATGCTGGTATCTGGAAAATGATTGGGGTATTCCCAGGTGTAGGTAACTAAAGAAGAATCCAGTCTAGGGAGAACACAAATAAATATATAGAAATTAGCATTGGCTCTTCATCCATAGCTTAAGAGCACACTTGTCCTCTAGTTAGGAATGGTGAATGGTAACTTGAAAAATTTGGGGTGATAAAAATTTCTAGTCAGATATTGAAATTCTCTAAACCTTTAAGTTGAGTTGCAAAGTGATGTACTTCTTTCAAAGTTTTTAGAGTCTGGGATTTGCTATTCCACCAGGGTGTGGATGTGGAGTAGCTCAGAGTTATGGTTGTGAGGATAGCAATTTGTGTATGATTATTTTCATTTGTCTTTTTAAAACATTGCAATGTAGAAGTCAAGTTATATAAGGGAATGAAAAAGAGAGCATATTGACATTAATCTGTTCATAAGGATTGTAATATTGAAATGTCTGGGATTTTGGACTTTGGAACAGAGGTTTTGAAGTCTTGCGAGTCTTGGATTTTATCATATATAAACCCCCTTTTGTAATAGATGGTAATGTCTTTGTCTGAGTTATTGATCCCAACACTAATCTCCCATTTTTAAGATGTCTTTGCCTGCAAATCAGAGCTAGGCCAAGGTGCATGTCCATTCATGTGAAAATCAGTCCAATTTGGGTGTCAGTAAAATAGGTAAATGATGTAACAAAGACTTACTGAGATAATCAAAATAAAGGCACATGAGAAATGGACTAGTCAAATACTAGATAAATTAATTACACTTAGAATAAACATTTTTCAATAGGGGTAAAATATTGTATGTGTACTGAAATGTTGTAAATAATTGGTGTCCTCAATGAATGATCAAATAAAAACAAGGTGTTTACACTTCCACCGGATTGTTAACTCATCTAATATAGAGTCTTGGTTAAGAAGCAGAGGAGGGGCACTTGTAAGCCATAATAAAACTATTTGAAGAGATGTGTTCCACACAACATGACAAACATGATTAAGTGAATAAAATCAACATATGGTCTTGAAAAACTTTCCCTACAACATATGCCATTCATTAAACATACCGCAGAGGGTAACACAGAAGGAATTGTGCACCTCTTGTAAAAAAGAAACATTCCCACCATCAGAGAAACGTTTAAAATAATTTCATTTTTTTAATATTTCCTGTCAGGGGAAAATGATAGCAAAGCCACAGACAATTGTGCAATATTCTTGTTGTGGCTGGTTAGGTATGTTTCCAGTGCTGTTAGCAGTGCTGGTTACAGGGACAAGGGCCTGGTCTTGATCCCAATCTGCACACTGCACTTGATCCATCTATGGAGTAAATGAAAAATCATGTTATTCAACACATTGTAACTTACAGGGAAACACTCCTCTACATGCTTTGTCCCATTAACATTTGTTCAGTGGTCACAAACAAAATTGTTCCTCAAATTTGCCACTTTCACTCCCATGGACTTGCTATAAAGATGTTGACTGATGAATGATGTCAAAGTATTTGCAGCACACCAAGAGCAAAAGGATTTATAACTACATCAAATGAAAGAAGCAGATGCTTGTGAAAAACATAGGGCAAACAAGGCTTGAGGGTAACATCTCTGCGAATGGCATGATCATACATTGACCCTTTAAACTTTTGACTAACCAGCATCTAATTTCCCCTAACAATGATACTACCAAGTCATTCATGAAGATCACCAGAGTAAAGGAAATAATTGCCAACTTAAGAAGCTTTATTGATGAAAGAATTTTTCCTTGTCAGTACCAAAGGAAATATACAGGAAAGAGAATGGAGAACATGGATACTAATGTTAGGGCGTCGAGGGTTAAGGCTACTGAAGCAACCAAACTAGATTAAAGTAACTTAAATCCATCAGATGGCCCCTGTGCTTATTTGTCGTCACGAGTTAATCTGAGGCAAAGTTCTCAAACTCTACCTTAAGCACATATCATCACTTGGATCTGTTCATATGGCAAAACTACTGCAAATGTTTTATAAATGCAAGGCAGAAATACACAAATTTAACAAGAAGAAGAAGGTGGGTACTGAGGCATTGTAAACTAGAGCAGTTTGGCCAAGACAATAATGAATAAAAGATACACCAGCAACACTAGACAAAAAATCAAGGTAAAAATGTAAAACAATACTTGTACTTACCACGTGTAATCAGACAAATGAGGTGCTATCATCCTGCTTTTTCTCTATAGCATACTGCAGAGAGTAAACAAATATTTTCATAATCAAATTATAAATAACCAACGGCTAGGATTCTATTGAATATGCTTTCTTGCTTGTGTTTTAATTAAGAAAAGTTCTGTCAGCTGCTCAGATTTAAAAAGCTCGTTTGTGAAACCACATATTATATTCAGTACACAATATGGTTGTAATCATCACTGCAGCAGAACAGATTCAACACTGAAAATACTGTCACAATCTGCCAATCCTCTCCACTATCAACATTTACATCTTACCCTTTCACTACTAAGATCTTTTTACTAACTCTCCTTACTGTCTGTCACAAAATTCTTTGGATGCTAATTTGGTATTGGATTGACTGATAATCCCCTTGTTGATATTTTTCTTTATTCTCGTCACTTATCTGCTTGATATTGTACTGATGTTGTAAGGAGAAATTCTTCCTTGGTCACTCATGGGAGTTGAAGGGTTAAGTGCACATTAAGGGAAGCTGTAGTAACATATTCATGCCTTTCATTTACTTCTGAAGTGCACTCTGGGAGGTTGAATTGCACTTGAATTTTTCTTTCAACATTTATAACCTTGAGAATGACCTAACAGCCGCTGATTGTGTATAACTGAGACTACCCAGAAATAAGCCAGGCTAAGTTTTATAACCAGCCATTTGAGAGTTTGCATCAGAAGGAGTTACTTCAAAGAAATTACACTTGACATAAAAACAACAACAACAAAACAATGAATGTGGATATTTTCCATCTCAACCCTCATTTTGTACATGAACTCAAAAAAACAAAGTAAAGAGCATTTTTGACTTTGTTGTACTTACAGTTGTCCCTCAGAGAAAAAAACCTCTATGTGTCCACAGATTTCTAAAAATACAACAAATAAAAGTCTTCTTAAAACCACAACTGAAAGGAAAAGGTTTAACCCTTTAACTCCCAAGATCTGATTGTTAATTCTCCCCTCTAGCTGCTACATATTTCCTAGTAAATTAGTTATGATAATTTGGTGTTAGATCAAGATGACAACCTCAACCTGATATGTCTGTGTATTCTCACTTCTCTTTTGCTGGATAATGTATGGATGTTATGGGGAGAAGTTACATGTTAATCACTTCTGGGAGTTAAAGGGTTAAACTATCTAAGATTATATTTTAAGGACATGCTCAGACTTAAGAAAATAATGTCTTCAGACTTATATCAGGTGAAGAAATTCAAAGCATCACTGCATGTCTTTGATAGCAAAGGTAAATTAAGAATAGTTGGTGAAGAGTCACAGATGTAGAAGTGATTAACACTGCAATATCACCAAGGTATAAGATCAGACTTACCCCACACAACACATAGAGAGCAGCAGCATTACAAGATGCAAACACAACTTTTCTTTCTGTCCATCTTCATCTCAGTCATCTAGCATCTTTACATGACCCTTGAATAACCCCTACAATGAAAAGACATTCTTCTTTTTCTTGTCAGGATCACATACAACAAGTTACATTAACATGATGCAGTTGCTGATGTTGCAGTGGAACTTTTGAAACAACTATTTTTCACGTAATTCAACAAGCATCACCTTGCCCATGCAACACTAGCTTAACACCACAAACTGTCAGCGACTTAAATAAAGTGAGTCATTCTACTCTGCCGTCATCACTGATGACAAGTAGTCAACACCTTCGCAAAGTCTCATCATCCAGCCTTATTTAAAATTTCTTGTGACCACATGTCTACTGTTGTTGAAAGATGTTACAATTCCCACAAGCAAGGAATAAAATGGTGTAATGACCATCTTTCACTTTGTTTTTGACACCTTAAACCAGCAATGTCTATAGACAAATTTGTTAATGTTATTTCTGTAATTACTCAACATACAATATATGAAAATACATTAACTTCTAGGAGAGGCTCAAGAAAGCTGATAACATTAATGAAAAGTTACCTTAACAAAAGATATCTCTGCAAGTGGCTTGCTACCTGAGAAACAATAAGAGAAAGTATTTTTTTCAGAATATTTTGCATGTATTTCCTCTATAATATTGTGTGCTGAGGAGCACTAGATTAAGTTTAACAAAACAGTAATTCATTTCAATAACCAAGAGCAAAGAGAGAGTTATTTTGCAATCAATTCACTGCTCAGACTCTGTTTTCATTCAGAGTTAAGTGGGGTAGTACTTCACTCAGGGTTTAAGCCTTTTTATGTCATCACAGCAGTGAAAGGTTGGTTTCATGTTAAAAAAAAAAAATGTCTCCAGATATCATGTGAACCTCAAAAAACAATCTTTGATATGTAGCAATTCCCTTTGGACACCAAATGAACTCATCTGCCCTCCAGATGACAAACCTCAAATTGTTCCAAAACTTACACTTCTGTGCCATATCCATTGTGGAAACTTCCTTGCGGAAAGGATCTGCAACACTTATCAGGCTAAATGCCAATTAAAAATTTCTGGAGCAGCAGCAGAGTGTTCTTATTTCCTATGGAAAAAAGAAGATAAATATATATCAACAATTCAGGGGCAAACAAGTTAAGAAAGTTAAGAAACTGTTAATTAAATAACCAATTAGAGTAAGTAATTCACTGGTCAGAAAAAGAAGAAAGTTCATTCATTTCAATTCAGAAGAACGAAAGTTTGGATTATTCATCATTCCAGTGAATGAGTAGTTCTCAAAAAGCTGCTGCTCTGGTTGTCACATGATAAACATTGTTTGAGTTTAAAATGCTTTCTTCTTGCTCCTTACTGTTCAAACAGGTTGGAAAGAGATAGAAAATGAGGAGTGATCTATTGTGTTGTATCACAAGTAAAAGAGTAATATGCCAGGAAAGACTTGAAATGATTTTAAGATGATTGCACCCATTGTTGAGTTTCACTCAAAGTTAACTCTCCAAATATGTACTCTTCATGATGAAGACAATAGTTATTTGGTTACAGATCTCTTTTAACTATTTAACTCCCAAAATTTCACCTCACAATATACATACAAGACAAATGATGAGAATAAAGAAAAATATCAATCAGGGGATTATTACTTGATCCAATGACAAATTCTCAGAACTAAAATCATAGTAATTGTATGGCAGTCATTTAGGAGAATTACTAAAGAGATCTTGGGAGTTAAAGGGTTAAGGTAAATTTCTTGGGTTCCAAAAACCATTTCTCAGTACCATTTAAACAATTCTCATGCTCTCTTCAGTATGTACCAATATTTTTTGTAGGTTTATTTAAATCACTTTTTCAATGAAAGCATGACCACATTGGGTCCAAACACCTAAGCTAAGAATATTGCACTGATAAAGATTCCTTTTCTGTTGGCTTCCATGTCAGACTTAGTCTCATGAATTTGGGGTGTTAACTTTAATCTTCTCCTTTCCCCCCCAAAGTTCTTGGTTTACTTCCATTTAGTGCTTAAAGAGAAATAATAAAAATTTCTACCCGACTAACTCATAAAATATTGCTGAAAATAGCTCAAATTCACAGAGGTAAAGAGATCTAGCCATAGACTGCCTCTCTAAAGTGTTTAAAGATTTGTAAGGAGTAAATCATTGTAAACTGTAGGAGAAATTTTGTTTAGAGGTAGGTAAACATAAACTGAATCAAACTTTTCATCCTTTTTTAACCTATCCCCACTCATATTAAGTTTTTTTTTAGTGAATACTTCATCGATAGTAAATGAACCGACTCCTAAATTACGAACTTTGCGGTTTGCACATTTGAAAATTTTGTTCGTTTGCAAGAGTTAGCTGCACGTGGTTAACTGACTGAGAGCATATTACCATTGTTGTGACCACCGATCGCCCTGAGACCTACACCATTTCTTACACCATGAGTTTAACTTTACTCTGCTTTATACGAAAGATTCTGGTACAAGGAATACGATAAAAAAAAGTAATAAGTGTTTACCCATGCACACTAACCTTGCTTTCCCTCCGCTTTTCTATCGCCGCTCACTCACTCATGCGGTTTTTGTAACCCAGAATGCATTTCAAATTTTCTTCCCGTGACAGAAATTCTCCTAGGGGTTGAGAAGGTGGGGTTTGAGGGGAGGGGAGGGGGAGGAAGGGGGGGGGGAGGGTAGGAGCTACAATGGAAACATATATGACACATATTGGATTATATATAGCGTTGCTTTTCAACTACTGTACAGACGTTATCGATTTCGGAGGTCAAAACATAAGCACCTGATTAGCCCAAATCTTGTATGCTTTGATCTTAAAAGAATTGAACATGAGTCGTTACAGGCCTATGAAAATTATTTTGGTTAAATAAGAGAATCCTTCCTTGGTGTGACGTTCAGGAATAGAATCCTCAATAAAAAATCAAGGGAGGCTAACAAATTTCCAATGAAATGGATAGTAGTTTTCAACATTACAGGAAAATTAGATTATAAAAACAAAATAAGTAGGAAGAAGTAATGAAACAAGGTAACATCAAAAGATATCCCAGATTTTTTTCACTCCAACATAGAGCAAGTAACCCTTTCTAGGCTATGAGAGTCCATCAAATTTCTGCTAAACTGACAAAACCTTTCATGGTATTGCCCTCTTGGCAAATTAAAACATCTGGCTCTGGTTGTTTAAAGGGTGAATAGCTATATGTATTGGGTAGATTCCCATCCAGTGGATAGCACAGTAGGTTTTGTTAACAGTTATCCATTGAATAGGGTATTATCCATTGGATAGCTGTATCCACCCTTTGAAAAACTGGGCTGTGATTTAGAATGATTAGAAAGTTTTAGATTTTCTTCATGACAGTATTGAGGATAGGCAGGATTTTCCCACACACATCGGAGGGGGTCCTTTATCTGCATCTTGGTGGCAATAATGGCATGTCAGGTTGTTTGTGTACTATGGATTGTCATGATTTGATTGCAGAGTAGGGTCACATACCCCATCCCTAGACTCCCCCTTCCCTAAACCCTTGACTACCCCTGAATGATAAAGACAGAATTTCTCCCAACAGTATCAATACTATATCAAGCAGACAAGTAATGAGAATAAAGAAATATAAAAATATCAATTTGGGTATCATTAGTTGATGCAATATGAAATTCTCCAAACTAACACCATAAGTATGGCAGATGGTAAAGAGTGTTATTAATGAGATCTTGGGTGTCAAAGGGTCAACCCTGCCCTTTTCATCTTTTGAAGATGCTGTGACTGAATATCAAGAAAGAGCATCATGAGCAAGCAAAAACCATCCTCACTAAAAGCAAGGAAGTAGTCAAAGTGTCTGAATGAATGCATTTTATTTTAATGAGTGTGTTACAGCTGGGGTCTGGCACTCATCCCCACGTAAGCTCCAAACCTCTGGCACTTTCAGTACATCTCATTAACACCAGCAGTGTCTTTACTTTCATTGGGATGCCAAAGGTTAACTGAAATTACATCATCTTCACATTCTAAACTCTCTGATTAGTCTGCATCATCTTTTCAATTAATCAGATGCAAAATTGAAGTGAATGGCAACTTATTTAAGCACTTTTTCCTGCATTGGAGGTCTAACTTCAAATGAGCACCTGGTTTTGGTGTTAAGACATAACCCGACAGCTTCAAGTATGCAATTGTTAATCTTCTGAGACCTAAACTATTCCTTCCATGGGCTCTCTTCTGCTTATGTAGCAATTTGAAGATAAAGATAAAATGCTACACATGGTACATCCACATGCCCCATGGCACCTTTTCATGTTTCAGACTTGTCACCTGTTTTTGTGCTTCAGGTGTGTTCTTGAGGCACAGGCCATCATTGTGTTCCAAGACTTAAGCCTTGAATCCTTGGTGCCTGGCTTCAGATCACTGTTGAACTCTATTTTCCTCTGTCCTCTGTTCTGTCCTCTGCTATGATACTACTCTTGTGCTGGTATGCTGTTACACCAAGTTTTTCAATCATCAAAAGCCCAGAATGTAGAGGGTTTTCCATTAGAGTCTCTTTCACGTTTAACAAATGAGGAAAATGAAGACACGCAGTTTCCAATGAAAAAGTCAGCTCTACCAAGAATAGCAAGATCTATCTGCGGCAACCAAGGATTGAGGTGGAAAATCTGAACCTGTTATATATGGATTACAGAAAAAAGGAAAGAACAGCTGGATAAGTTGATTGTAAATTGGCCACTGTGAAGAGTTTCTAAACCTGACATTTCAAGAGTAAGCCCTTCACCAGAGCAAATGATATCTTTCCCCAATTTCAATAGATGTACATGACAGATTATTACTCATTCTAAGGAAGATGATTCTGACTCCTTGCAACAAATTTAGGTAAAAATTGCAAGATACATAAAACATGACATTACCTCCTTTTCAGTAACTGTAACATCTAAACAGATATACTTACATTCAGTCCTTTAAGTCTAAACTTCAATTCCTCTGTCATTGGATCACTATCAGTGGCCACAAACACAGCCTTGGCTTTAAATCTTCTCACAGCTTCTTCAGTGCGGTTAAGGATGTCTTGTTTGGGTGGAAAGCAGAGCTCTTTTGTAACAGTTCTGTATCGTGAATAACCCAGACACTGTGGTGATGCCATGTACTGAGGCATACCTTCTGCATGCTCACAAGCATTTCTCTTGCAGAGAGAAATAAAGTTAGGTTAGATTTGCTTTCAATTACCACTTTACAATTTACTTTAAATTTCTTTCTATGTTGCAAAGGTTACATGGATGCATCCAAACCAGTTGCTGGACACTATAATCTCCCTAATCATTCAAAGCAGCAAAAAGTGGTTTGCAGTGTTTTCCTACAACTAGGTAGTTCAGAAAGCTACAAAACTCTAGAACAATTATTTATCTTTCAAATCGGCACTCTTAATCCCACGGTATCAACAAACACTTTTCATTCAACTAAATTATTCTTGTCTTCTTGTCACCAGATTCCCACCAATAGCATAGCTCTATTTTCTGCATATACAAATACACACAACTCACAATTCCTCCATTTGCTCTGATAAGGGTCTAATACTTGAAACCAGCTTTGAAACTCTTTACGGTGGCCATGCAATTTATGTTCTCAACTCAGTTAATAGCAAATTACCCAAAAACAAAAGAGTTGCAAAAATAAGAAAAAAGGGAACATTTTCAGTCAACAATTACACATAATGTTGTGTAACAGTCATAAACTAACTGTACAGTTTAATTCACATGAGAAAAATTTTAGGTTGATGGAATTGAGAGGAAGGGGATGCTACTGATATCCTTTCATCTGTAGGATATCTATGGAACAGGTCATCAGAAAATCTCTTAAAGAAAATGCTACCTTAAGATCTATTGAATTGCAGTACTACATTTATATAATAAATGAGTTATCTATACCCAGTCAATTCCATTGCGCAGATGAATTCCAACAAATGGCCCTTTTGGCAAATTGTTCTGTATATACTCATCCACTTCACTGTTGATCTTTTGTGACCACTTCAAAAAAGCATGCGCTTGACGATTCTGCTCTTCAACTGGAAAACTAGCTGGAGCTCCTCTAAATGCAAGAACTGGATGACTGGATGGTGGAAATCTAAGGAAAGGCATTTAAATTCTGTGTTACTCTTCTTTTCAATGCTGCTTGACTAAGAATCTCTCTAACTACCCAAAAACAAATTTCTTTACCCATTTCATTCCCAAGATTGCATTAGTATTATCCTTACTGTCTGCTATACAATCCTTATGCTGTTCATTGGCAGAATTTGCTCTTAGATCAACTGATGATCCTTAATTGATATTTTCCTTCATTCTCATCACTTGTCTTCTTGATATTGTATTGATATTGAAAGGAGAAATTCTGTCTTGGTCACTTAAGGGCTTTGAAGGGTTAAGGATGAGAATGAAATGAACTAGCTCAGGACTTTAGAGATAATCCTGATAATCCTTTCAGACAAGTTTCTTTTCATGTGGAAAATTCAGGTTGTTTTCCAAGATCATAAATTGCAACCTATTTTCCATAATTTAGTTTCAGCAAGGCTGAAGTATCCATTAGGGAATATGAAAAGAAGACGACTGTTTCAATTTAGGTTCATCAAGTATGAACAGCTTCAAACATAAAGAGAGGCAGAGTAAAGACGGTAAAAAGATTTCACTAATAAAGAAAAATATCCATTCCCTCCCAACAAAACTTACTTCTTCTGCCATTGTTCCCTCTCATAAGGATCTTGTAAATGAATTCCAAGATGATAGACAATTTTCTCATCAAAGTCCACTTCTAGTTCATCCCAGAATGGTTTGAATGGATTTCCCTCCTGGTAAGAAAGACACTTTTGTTTGGATTGGGCTTGACACCATGCACACAAAACAATCCTAGTGTCAGTATGCATAGCCTTCATAATGTTCTCAATGCATTTCCTTAGGTGTTACAAGGATAGTTTTTTAAACAATCATTAGCTGCTTTAGTTAGTCATATTACATTTATTCTCATGACCTAGATACATGGATCAAGGGTGATATTGTAAGGAGAAATTAGATGCTAGTCATTCCTAGGGGGTCTAAAGGTTAGGAAATTGAAATAATAGACAAATCATACACAGCCACAGAGAACAATCCAGCAGTGGTTATTTAAATTTCATGACAGTTCTGTCACAGTTCTACTCCACTGACCCCTTTTTACCTTCATAATGCATTTCCTATCAGATCTAGGAGGTAACCAGCAGTAGCCACGCCTTGTTCCTTTTGGCCAGTGAGTGGGAGCTAAGTGCTTCATAAAATCCTCTGCTAAAATAACCCTATGATAAGTTTGAAGGGGTTCCACTTGGAAAAAGTCAGAAAAAGGTACATTTTTCTGCAGATGGAAAAGATATAAATAACTCTGGTTTAAGATAAAAACTGTGGGTGCATTGTTAAAAACAACAATGGGCTCTTTTTGGTCCTTATCAAAACTGATAAAGGTTTGTAGTGGTAGTAAGTCAAAACTACAATTATCAAACATTTTCTAAAAAAAAAACTTGAAACACTCATAACATTTTACAGTGAATAATTAGCTAAAATGGATGGCCTGACATACTTGCATTTGATTCCTGCTAAAGGAATCATTACGGGCTTTTCAGCATCAAACAAAGCGCTACAGTTGTTGTCACACAAGCCCCAGAATTATGGTCACTGTGATAATTGCCCTTTACTTCACACAGTTATATATCAATTAGCAAAAGGACTCTGATATATCTGAGTCCTCCCATCAGGGAAAAATTTTTATGTTACACCAGCCCAATCCTAAAAGCCTGTAAATTTTACAAAGCATAATTAATGCATTATGCACAATTTGTATTCTGTTTCAAGTTGCTGATTAAAATACATCACTGAAGGCAAACATGGAAGAAAAGTTTCTCTGTTTAAACTTAAGTTTGAGTTGTTTACTCCTCATGTACAAGAAAATGAAGCTGTACTGAAAAAAATAGAAAAATGCTTAACATACATATGTTCTCCAAGGTGGAAGAATTAATGTCCTGTCAAGAGCCTTTGCAAATGCTAATGCTCCCAGAAAATGTTCAGCCTGGTTTCCAAATCTTCCTGTAGAAAAAGAAAATCTAAGCTCCACATCTAACAGAAATAATTTGTACCTTCTTACATACTATTTATATTGTGTCATTGTATCAATGACTTTTATCCCTTGTTTAACCCCTGAGAGTGACTAGCATCTAATTTCTCTTTACAGTATTACTGATGAATCACAAGAACAGAAGGAAAGATCCCCAACTTAGTGTCATGTGTCATACAGGGTAGGGTATTATAAACATGGGGTCTACTATTTCGGGGTAGGGTAGTTTTATATGGGAAGAGCTCTTTTATCATATTCCAATAAATTTTTAATGCATAGTTTTATATAGATTAGATTAGTTTAGTTTAGGTGTCCTTACTTAGTGGGAAACTGCTATCTTATTTGACACGTAAATAAAGTTTATTATTATTATTACTATTATTATTATTATTATTATTATTATTATTATTATTATGTCAAAATGCAGACTGGAGACCATGCAGACCAAGCAGATAATGCAGACTGAGCAGATCATGCAGACCGTGCAGACCATGCAGACCGTGCAGACCATGCAGACTCTGCAGACCATGCTGACTCTGCAATTTTTTTGTTTGCTTTTTTTAACTCTGATTTGCATATGATTAAGGTGCGCACATATTTTTCTTACTCTTTTGATAACATGACATAACTTTACCTGATTATTTACAAGGCTATTTCGACTCATGCTACCTATAGAAACAATTTGCATGTAATCGCAGGCGCAAGTTTATCGAGTACGTGGAGATAAGCCTCAGGCTGCAAATGATGGAAAATTGACCCAGCATGACCGCAAACTTAAGACCAAGAATTCTGGACTGTTAAATTCTCCTTGTCAGTATCATAGGAAATTTTCAAAAGACGGTATGGAGAATATGCACATAAAAGGCGGATAGACGTAATAATTTCCACATCTGAAGATCCACTTACCCATGCAGGGGCAGTAAAATACGTAACCACGAGAGTCCCATTTAAAACTTGCTTCAGAGTTTTTCATTTCCGAGGGGCCGGCCGACTGCCCTTGATTAATCAACGAAATGAAGGAACAAATGTACAGAAGGATGACTGCATGAACAGGACACATTTTAGATCAGTAGAATTCTACTCCACACAACGAAAAACAGTAACTCAAAATAAGTAAATAATTCAACTAAATGGAAATTATAAGCAGCTGAGTTTACAACGATAACCGCTGAAATTAGCGATTGCAGTCCACTTTCCCAGGAAACTGTTCGCGATCAGCCACTTATTAGTAAACATGGCGGTTCTTTCAAAAACGCAGAGCTGTGATACTCACGACTTATCTGAGAGCCGTTATGGTGCATTTTCCCTTCTCAGGTAAGGCTATTTTCATTACATTTTCTTTATTTACAAAGAAAAAAATTTAGCTAAACCAAAAGTTATTTTGCTTTCAATCGGAGTGAAATCGGGCGACTGAAGCCAGAGCATGCATTCAATGCATGGTTTCAAAACACAGTTGCCCAGGCATCAATGATTTATTTAATGTGCCTAATTAATCTTACGCATGTAGACAATGAACACAGGCCTTATTCATTTCCAGTCGATCCTGGCAACTCCCGGAATAAGAGCAAATCTCCGGTTACCCTGTAGAAGTCACAAAATTTCCCGGAAAGAAGTAACTGGGGATCATGTTCCAACACTCAGATTCCCTGTTTTCCAAAAATCTAAAATCATCATCCCTGACATTTTGCTTTTTGAGTTTATTCAAGACAATAGATTCTTGCTGCGGCTCAGTCAGGTTTTGAGGGTCAAAACGCGAGGCTGGTTTCCCAGCCTTAGGGCCTAACCACTTTTTCTTGGGATTCAGAAGGTCATGTGGTCAACGGGATTGGTAGGCAATTGCGCCAGCAATAATACTGTTTTACTGGAACTGCAATGTGCACTTAGCTGCTTGCCAAAAAATTTAAAGTACAAAACTTTGGAGTCTCGTTAGCTCTATTATATTTACTGTAGAGTTTCCACTTTCCCAATAAATTAAATATACATTTAAAAGTTTTTTAGAGGAATTTTTAAGGTTGCTAAGAGGTAACGCTTCCGGCTAGTCGCTAAAACTTGCGGCTAATAATTTGTCTACATTCAAATCGTTCGCGAGTAATTTAACTTTGCAGTTCCAGTAATATTTGCGACGTGTTTGGTTACTTATCAAGATGGCTTCCGAAGCCGTGGTCTGGTGGTTGGGTCTATCTTTGCCAGGTTCGAAGGAGCAAGGTATTATGGGACGGTGGGTACATCCCTTTGAAATTCTTCTCATTTCACCGAGGGTGATAAAGGTAGTTTCCTGTAATTTTTACAGACTAGTTTTTATAGAGACGAGTTTACTCAAAGAGACAAAACAAAGCCCGATCTTCTATGAGCAGCAACCTACATTACGGTTTTGTCATCAGATTAAAATTGCAAAATCTTTCTTATTTCAATGGCTTACACCGGTTAAAATTCTCATCAGACGTAGATATACTTTACGCTAGACCACTGCACGCGTTGTATCTGTCTTCTTCGGGACCATTTTTATGCTAAACTGACTCAATTTCTTACATAACTATGTTCTTGAATGAGGTTCTTAATGGGGTGATGACTTTTACGGCTAATGGTTCACTCCCTTCCTTTGTGATTAAGAGTAAAATAAAGTTTGAATTTTTTTTTACGACTGTGGGTTAAAATATGACAATTTGTGCGCCTAACGGCTATTTTTTTTGTGGGCCGTTTTACGGCTGACGGTTGACCTCATTGAGACCCTCTCGAGTCTGTTCTTGATTACTATCTCTCACACCGACAGGTTATGGAAGCGCTTGTCCTCCCACGCACTACCGCTGATTCACCGTTGCTTAGGGAAGACTGCAGGCCTATTTCACCGCCTCGCTATGTTAAATACGAGAATAGCTGGCTTTTGATCAGAAAAGTGACAGGAATACTTTTTGAACGATGACGTGAGTAAAGTTAGGTGCGACGAACGATAATCTGTCAAAGGTAAGAGAAATGAAAGTTTAATATGATTAGAGGGGATAATGTTCCCAGGTTCTAAACAACCTCGATCTATAACAATACAATACTTTTAACTCCCGGCATGAGACTCACACATGCCAACATTATTTTTCGAATAAATTTCGCTATTGACCTGAGCCTGTCTTTCAGATTTTTATCTTAAAGTACTTTTCTATAGATATATCCTGGAGAGTTATACTAGATTTTCACTTCTGAACAGCAAGACTTCGCTAGAGTAACAGGTGTTACAGGTAGAATATTCAGGTTGACACCCCAGTGCAACTCATATAACACTAGCGAACATCAAAGCGGATGAGAAGTGCACAGTTTACCCAGTATTGGTTTGATTATACACTCTGGCTGCAAAAACAAGTTAAACTTGTCTGTGTCTGTCCATAGGTAGAATTCTGTCGTTCTGTTCAATTTTAAAGTCTAGCTGACATGATTTGTAAATTGTTCATTGATTGGCGTAAACAATACCAGAACCGACCTGAGGCTGTTAATATATCTCTTATCAATTTTAACGCTATGGAAGTTAGAGAAATAAAACCTGACAAAAGTGATCTTATCCAGCCACTGGCTGTAAATTAAGGTAATTTGGTATTATCAACATCGCTCTGACGAAGGGCTAACGCTCGAAACGTCAGCTTTTAAACTCCTAACGGTGGCCAATTTACGTTATCGACTCAGTTGATAATACCAAATTACCATGTTATATTCTCTTACTGACGCAGCACCACAGTTTCTTTAGAAACTTACCCCCTTTATTGGCAACAAATTAGTCTTCAGGCGTCTTTTGTTAATCTTTATGTACACTACTCAATCATATCATCGAAAAAGACTTTGACAGTTTACAAAGTATTGGTTTAAAGACTCTTTGGCTCCAAGAATCAAGTCAAACTCGTCTGCCTCGTTTTATCGTTAAAATCGATAAAATCATGTCGTACTGCTAGGAGCCCATCACTGTAATGGGCTCCTGGTACTGCCTAATTTTTGCGTCCAGCTAAGATAATAAATAAATTTTCTGCCACGGTAGTAGCTCTAAAATAATGATATTTCAACAGGTAAACTTTTAGAAATGTTTATTTTCGACCCGGTTGGAAAATATGTCACTTAAAGATAACGATGTGGCACGTGACGTTTCAGTTTCGTGCTACAAATTTTTTGGGGGGCCATGAGGTTGCTTTGTTACACGTTACCTAATGAAGTACAGCGCTCTGCTGTGATTGACTGTTTGCAAAAACTACGATTACAGCCTGTGTAGCTGGCAGTTTTTTAGCACTCTACGAATGTTTAGGCGGCAGATCCGCGAAAACGGCCATCAGGAGTACATTCCGCGGCGTTGTCGCTTTATGCTTCAAAGCGTAAACGTGACTGCCAACCTAGCGGGACACTGTAATCGGCGCATTTCTTTCATAAGTTCTCGTAGAAGTGCGCAGCTGCACGACTCCCCTTTCGTTTAAATTTGATCGCGGACATCCACGCTTTTGGGTTATCAATGGTCTACCGCTGACTAGCCTGACAGCAGGCTCTCGTGTTTATGTTTCTTCTTCTTGCCCCTTTTCCGGCACAACCGCATACTATAGCACCAGCAGCCATTGAAACCCCTGTAATCTCCTCTATGGTGTTGTCTGGGTGAACTGGGTCCTATGTCAATCTACCAGCGTCCTGCGCGTTTAACAACGAGGTTTCAAATCAATAAAGTTTGCTTCGTTCCATTTCAGATAATATGTATTAGCGGTTATGGAAACGGATGACGATGATCTCGAATCGAAAGAGATGGAAGTCGATACGAAAGGAAAAAACATACGCAAAATAGTTCTGAAGTATATATTTTTCCTCCTGTCGCTGGTCTTTGCCGTGGCATTAGTCGGCGTCGTTACACAGTTCGATTTTTCACCGTACTTCACGGAGCACGCGCAAGAGCTGTCTAAACACCGCACCAGGGGGGAGGAGGTAGAGTTTCATGCCGTTAGTAACATTGAGAAGTTCCCTCATAAAGAGCAACGCCTTCCAAAGGATCTGAAACCACTTAGTTACAAACTTGATTTGCGAGTGAATTTGACAACGCTTAAGTATAGGGGAGTAGTCAAGACAAGAATTCTCTGCGAGAAAACAACTCGTTATGTTATCCTTCACTGTGGAGACCTAGAAGTTTTGAACGTTTCCGTTACTGCAGAAAACAATCACGACATAGCTATCAACAGAATACTTGCTTTCAAGGAATACCAACAGCTTTGCGTAGAGCTCAAGGGAGATCTCTGTAGGGGAGAGTCGTATTTCGTTACTATTCAGTTCAAGAATAAGATTTCTGATAAACTGGAAGGATTTTACAAGAGTTGGTACCGCAGTGAAACAGGAGAAAAAAGGTGTGTGGTTGTTTCAATGTTAAAAAATTTTAAGAGGATGTGAAAAATATTACGATTTAATTCTTTGATTTCTTCAATGGATAAGCTATGCAGTTAAATCCTCTGAGACGTGTGAAAGCGTTAATTCTATTGAATAGCGGACGCCTTTACATCCTCATGCAATTATTTTTCTGTTGCAAGAAACTGAGTAAAAGGACCTTAACAGCTATTGTGGCGCTCAATTCACCAGAAGAGATACCTGCGTGGGAACTCCAACTTCAACAGTTATTGTGGGCAAACAGCTCTCCTTGCGGCTAACTTGTTGGCTCGACCTTTTTGCCATTTTTGGGAAGAAAGATTTTGCCTTATACTTATCTTCTATGTCGCCGTAGTTTCTTTTCCTTGTCTGCAACAGAACATTTTGCCACATCAACACACGTTCATTTATACCTCTTAACACTCCTACGTTTTTGTTCCTCCACACAGGATGCTAGCAGTGTCTCATTTTGAGCCTGCACACGCTAGGAAAGCATTTCCCTGTTTCGACGAGCCCTCTTTTAAAGCGTCCTTTAACATATCTATAATTCACGACCCTCAACTCTACGCCCTGTCAAACATGCCCCGGGCCCGGCTCGTAACCAGAAAGGATGGACTTGTGGAGGAACATTTTCTGCCCAGCGTCAACATGAGTACATACTTAGTCGCCTTCGCAGTGGTCGACTTTAGATATAAAGAAAAGATGACCAGCTCAGGAGTATTGGTATGTTTAACTTTATCCTAAAGCTTGTTGCTAAGTATTACAGTACTCAAGACACGTTAACCGTTGTTGGTGAATGGAACTTAACTTTCTTACGAAACTAATTTGTTGTCATCAATATCGATCTATTCGGTTGAGAGACCCGTAATTATTTACAAGGACGGGGGGAGGGGGTGTTGGAGGAGTTGGGGAGGGGTCGAAGGAGTTTTGGGGGGCTGTCGGAGGAGAATTGGGGGGGTCGGAGGAGTTTTGGGAGGTCGGAGGAGTTTTTGGGAGTTCGGATGAGTTTTTGGGGGGGTCGAAGGAGTTTTGGGAGGGTGTCGGAGGAGATTTCGGGGGGGGGGTCGGAGGAGTTTGGGGGGGGTCGAAGGAGTTTTGGGAGGTCGAAGGAGTGTTGGGGGGGTCGGAAGAGTTTCGGGGGGGGGGTCAAAGGAGTTTTGGGGGTGTCGGAGGAGTTTTAAGGGAAGGCCACAGGAATGGCCACAGGAATTAACTGCCAGGGAATGACGATCATTATAATACTGCAAGTCTTATGGGGCCCCGGGGATCCGGTAAATTTTGCTGTGACCCAACCAAAATCCTTCCCGGGCGAGGCAGGGTTCATAATGCAGATAATTCCGATCGCATTAGTAGCAAGACCTGATTAAAGCGTTCCGCGAAGGATCGCATTAAAAGCTTTATCAAGAAAATCTCTTACATGAGTTTGGGTCTTAAGTGCGCGAAAAATTAAAATTCAGACATCGCGTAAGTATCATTCACCACATCAAACGCGCAGCAATAATATATTTTTAGCAGGAAATATCGAGGAAAAGTTTATCCGTAAATAGGCATGTAGCTACAGCAACTTCTAGAAAGAAATTGCAAAGAAAAATACTGGTTCGAAAATCATTATAAATAAAGAAATTAGTTTCGTGACTTCAGCTCATGTCACACTGAATGATGCTGAAATACTTACACTGTTGGGTCTCCCACGTCATCTGTAAACAGTGGTGAGAGTTGTCAAGGAGATATGACACAAGGTCATATAAAGGCGAGTGCAACAATCACCAACAGTCAAAATGAAGGTCATTTGTGCCGGTTTGAGTAAAACAGGCACGAAAACATTGGCTAAAGCTTTGAGAATCTTAGGCTACACCGTGTATGATTATTTTGAACACCGAAACTTTCATGCAAATGAGTGGCGCGCTATTCTCTGCGAGGGTAAAGATCCTGATTTTATCGCCATGTATAAAGATGTCGACGCTGTAACAGATATCCCAGCGGCGGATTGGTTTCAGGAAATCTACGAAGCTTTTCCTGATGCAAAAGTCGTTCTTTCTCTACGAGATAACGACGAGGTTTGGGTGAAGAGCTTTTCTAAGCAGGTTGAAATCTTGACGACTTATGGTGGATTTGTAAACAGAGTCTCTCTTCTTTGGCTGAGACCGATTCTTGGTGTGATATCCGCCCCGAGTAAAGCAGCTGAAACATGGAAGAAATCAACTTTCGTTCAACTGGTCGTAAGGGCCTGCTATGGTAGCTTTAATTCGAAGTCGACGTCACTTTTTAAGAAGAAATACCGTGAGCACAACGAGAGAGTACAAGCTGTTATTCCGAAGGAAAGACTGCTAATCTACAACGTGAAACAAGGCTGGAAACCTTTGTGCAAGTTCCTTGAATGTGACGTGCCTGAAGAAGAATTTCCAAGGGAAAATGTCGCATTATCTACCACCCACCAAGCAATTTCAGCCGAACTTGAAAAAGTAAAACGGAAGTTATTTATCGTGCTGGCGATTTGTGCGCTTCTTGCATGTCTATTTTATTTAGTGTTTTTTCATAGGAGCGATAGCGATTTTTGAAACTTAGAATTGAATTGACGCGAATTAGTCGAACGTTTTTATGATTTTTTCAACCTAGATATAGTAATCATGATGTGATTGAAGTTCCTCTTGTAACTTAAATTGTGCAACATGTATTTGTTCGAGAACTGTGCTTCAGGCAAAGTGACTCAGTTGTCTTGGACAAGACAAGTTTCTTGCATGTCTGTTTTATTTAGTGATTTTTAATAAGAGCGATCGTGATTTTTGAAACTCAGACTTGAATTGACGTGAATTAGTCGAATATTTGAGCTCATTTTATCCAACTTAGACATAGAAATCATGATATGAGTGAAGTTCTTGTAAATTTAACTGGGTAACATATATTTGTTCGAGAACTGAGCTTCAGGCAAAGTAACTCGGTTGTCTTGGACAAACGATACCGATGTGCACGTGGCATTTAGAATGGCATTGTCAATTCTTTGAATCCACCTTCGAGTAAGCCTTCTTCTATGACTAATTTACGCTTAAACCTCTCATTGCAAGGTTCGATCGAGCCCCCAATGTGTCCTTCTTAGTTGCCGTTTGATAAGCTTTGACAGCTTACCGAGCGTCACGCAATCGCTTTTCTGCAATCCGCCTTCACGATTATTTGCAGTATTGAGGAATATTCCTGGCCCATTTCTTGATGAAAAGCGATCGCAATATTATTTCAAGCCTTCAATATAGTCTTATTACTTTGCGCGCGAGTTGGTTGGTGTGATGTCTGTACAGATTTTATCAACGTAATAAAAGTAGATGATGTGAACAACAGTGATGGTAAAGCAAGCTTAAAACGGCAGAAATCGCCAGAAAATACAACGGATACACAGGGTATGAGTAATTTTTATTGACTTTACGAGAAAAATGTTCATATTTCGAAATATGTATCGTTGTAAATCGACCATACTTCGTTCCCTGTACTATTCCTTATAACGTGCAGTTCCTCTCGTAACTTAACACCGAGTCACAACAACTATTCCTTATAACGTGCAGTTCCTCTCGTAACTTAACACCGAGTCACACAACGCGTGACGCGTTCATAAATTAATCGTTGGCTTTTTCTCGAGACGTGAGCTTGGGCCGCTTGTGACAAGACAATTGCGTAAACAATATTTAACATAACAAAATTATACACAAAAAAACACAGGGTTTTGGATCACGTATTTATTAAAAAAGAATATCCATACAACTACAATGAAAACAAACGTAAGATTCACCTTTCTGATCGTCAAATTAATACAATTCGTACTGTTATCGTAGCTACGTTCCTTGCCATCAAGTGAATCCAACATGTCGTCTTTCTTCACAAGCAGTTTGCATCCCTTATAGCTATGTTCTTCAGTCTCACGGTAGTAGCGTTGTTCAATAGATTGCATAGAGTATATGCAGTTTGGTTTCAGATTTCAGATTTTGCTTTTTACAACAAGTGAACATTTTTCAACTAAGACATTGGCATACTTAGCATACAAGGCATTCAAGGCTTTCATGGCTTTCAAGCGTTCGCGACTCAATCCGTTCCAAAATCACCGCTCAATAACATCTTTCAGTGTGGATTAGCCGCGATTAATACGACTTGTATATGCGTCTGTAAGTATTTTGCGCGTTTGCGCTATAATGCTCCAGGAGATCGCAATCCAAATACGTTGAAACACAAAACAACTGACCTAAGAGTTTTATAAGCAAAATCTCGTGTTTGTCATGTGACCCGGCCCTGTCTGTGCATGACAACGTCAATCATCATCAAGATAACACGCGTGATCAGCATGTGAACACCTCATTGGATCACAGTTAGTTGTCATGGAGTTGAGGGATAACACGCGTGATCAGTATGTGAACACCTCATTGGATCACAGTTAGTTGTCATGGTATTGAGGGCCCAATGACCTCTGGGTACTATTGCGCAATTTTTCCATTTTGTGGCGGAGGAAAAAAAAAAAAGACAAAAAAACAAAGGCATTTTATGACTGGGCTACCACAGGTATCCCAGTAAAAATAGAAGAGGCCAAAGTGCAACTCGACAAGAGTTCACTACAAACCTCTCAGAGCACCGATCGTAAAAAACACGCAGGCAAGGGTTAATGGGATCATTGACCAAATGCATCGGGGCAACACATTAATGACATGATAAACAACTGGCTTTCACAAACTCCCAATCCGCCCAGAATACCAACATTCTTCCTTCACGCTCACGAAAACACACAAACCTATACCGGTCGGTAAACTTATAATCTCAGGTTGTGACGGCCTTACTGAGAAAATATCATCTTTTGTGGAGACGCTACTCCAGCCTATCGCGCAATTGCAACAATCCTATATAAAGGATACCTTTCTTCTATCGACTTCTTAGAAAAAACAAAGATACCTATGATAGGCAAAGATACTATTCGAGTATCAATGGACGTTTCCAGCTTGTACAAAAATATACCTCGAGAAGAAGGAACGACTACAGTATGTGAAGCATACGAAAAGTTCCACGACCATAACGCACCGACTCCAACGCAGGGAAATGCATGGCTTAATCCTTAAAGAAACTTAAATTCGTTTCAATAAAATGAGGAGAACTTCATGCAAACACATGGAACTGCTATGGGTACAAAAATGGCAGTGTCGTTTGCCAATATTTTCATGGCGGATATTGAAACGAAATTAATCCAACAAAGCGAAACCAAGCCAAGAGAATGGAAGCGTTACATACTTGACAATTTCACCCTTTGGGATTGCGACAGAAAAGGGGTAGATCGGTTATTATAATAATGATAAAGACTTTATTTAAAGAGGGTTAACACTTACTAGCCAAAGGCTAATAAGCTTGTGGCCCTCGGAAAATAAAACTACAAACTATGAATACAAATATAATATAATAAACTTAAAAACCTAAATTTATGAGAGACACGAATAGTTGAATTACAATAATATTAAAACCTCCATAAAATATAGATGTAAACAGATATAAAAGATAAATCCTAAAATGGTATAAATGTAGCTGCGCAACATTTATTCAAGACACGTTAACCGTTGTTGGTGAATGGAACTTAACTTTCTTACGACACTGATTTGTTGCATTCAGTATCGACATATTCAGTTGAGAGACCCGTAATTATTTATAAGGACGGGGGGGCGGGGTTGAAGGAGTTTTTTTTTTGGGGGGGGGTCGGAGGAGTTTTGGGTGGGTCGAAGGTAGGTCTTTCCCGATTATGCTACTAAAACTGGCATTTTATGCTCCTAGAAATTCCGCTTTACGCCAAAAAAAATGCTCAAATTATGCTTTTTTGTTTAATTTCAAGAAAAACGTAGAAACTCAGGTATCATGTGTGTATCAGCAACTGAATAAAGTGAACAGTGTTTAATTGTTTGTTTTTAAAACTTCTGATAAAGTCAAAACTTGTCCAATTAAAAACAGTTAATTAATGTTCGAAGTCCTTAGCGCTTGTTGCACTGTGACATGACGCTGGCTTGGAGGTAGTCAACAAGAGCACAATTCTGTTGCTCGTTGAAGGAAGCCTTCAGTATTGAAAGTACTCTTTCTGCCGTAGCAGACGATGGTTGGACAAGGAGAACTTGCTTCACTGCGGAAGCCCAACGAGGAAGTTGCTCCTCGTGCCCACATCACCATTCAACTTTCTTCTCCAGTCGGGATAACAACATATTCAGCAGCAGCAGCCAAATAGGCTGGAAGTTCGGCTTTGAGACCGTCGATGGTAGCATCACTATCCAGGAAAAGAAATGCTCTCAGAGACTCTTCTAATGCATTTGTGGGCTTAAGCCACTGGATCCTAGCGGGGCAGAGTAGTCTGGCAGCCTTGAATGCTACCACTACATCATAAAGATCGACATTGAACTTTCTCAGAAACCACGTAATTGCCGGCTCAACACAACCCTTCGCACTCCGTTCAAGTGCTGTTAGGTTCTGACCTGGGTCTTCCTCTGCAATTGCAGTGGCAATTGCACGGGCGTTAGGGAAACAAGGAGCTTGACAAAATTGGGAAACGGCGCTTAGTTTCTCATAACAAGTAAAAACCAAAGGACCATCCCCTTCCAAAAAATACGTGGCTTTCACAAAATGTTCGCCAACATCAATAGTAGCGGCAAGCTCAAGCCTCAAGCTCATTAGTCGCTCTGGGTCAGAGAGTATTGCTTGAAGTTGTGGCAGTAGCTGCGGGCAAACTTTTGCGTCCTTTTCTTCTTCTACGAACCTTGCGGCATCTCCAAACTGCACCATCAACTGATGATACACCTCCCATTTGGACCACCATCTAGTCTCGCTGTACGATCCTGTCGTAGATGAGAGCTTCCGGTGAGTCGATAGCTGTTCTTCTCCAACAGAGACCGTAGCATGTCTATTTTACCGATCGGGATACCCGCCTTCAAAAACTCACCGACAACTTCGAGTCCGTAGGCACATTCTTCCAAGGGCAACGTGCTATCTTTTGAACTTCCTTCTCTTCTGAATGCCTCGATTATGGTCTGGTCTTTCAATTTCGACTTTTTCAACTTCTCTCTCCTGTTCTGATGCTTCTTGGACGAAATATGGATTTTCAGAACATTTTTTTTGGAGGAAATGATTTCTCTACATCCACTGCAAAACAATTTTCTTTCTCTGACAATCAAATTCTCGCCTGGGAACTGCTTAACTCGCTCATAAAACGGGACTTTCGTTGTATCGCTGTTTCCTCTCCGCTTGTAATTTCCACTGGTTGATTCTAAAGATCGATCTCGAGCTATCGTTGAAGGGACTGGTGTATACTCTCCTTCAGAATTTCCTTCTATGAGCTGCAAGTATCGAGAAGATGGCGTGGCACTGGCCGACGCCATCTTGTTTGTATATGCGCTTGAACTGCCTCTGAAAGTTAACCGCTGACTAGCTGCACTCAGTTAATACAGTTACAGAAATCCTTCTCTAAAACACAAAAGCAAATCAACAATGTTTTTTAATTCTAAAATTTAGCATTTAAACTCTTTTGAGCGCTGAAATCTAGATCAAAGTTATGCAAATACTAAATAATGCTAGCGATTC